CATCTTTATATTTTGATACTTGTTGTACTGTTATTACATGTTACAGTTTGGGTACACTGTTTCCATTTCCATCATTGATTTTTAAAAAAGCGAATATAACATTTTCCTGGATTTGTCTGCACATTTTAAAGATAAAATTTAGCTTTTAACCCCCTTATGTATAGGCCTCATATTTTTTTTTTACTTTTTAACAGCTTCAATAAAATAAGAAAATTTTAATACATCGCGCTTTTACTTATATATACATTCATTGACATTTTCTCTTCAGCAAGTTTACAACTATATGCACATATATTGTACTTCGGGTTCGTTGTGATTATGCTTTTACTGGCGAATGTGCAAATTTTACTGCGATATATTAACGCAACTTACTAAGAGTCTTTCGATATATAGGTATATTCATGATTCATAGCACAATCATTTGCTTTACCATTATTTCCCTGACCATTTACATAAATTCATTTTAAATATTTGGGCAATGTCATCTGACATTCTAGAAATTTCCGTAAAGACTCAGATCGGATATAAACGAAAAGGATTTGAAGCAGTTTATAAAAAAGCATAAACTGTTCCAACCCACTTTATAACGTATAAATTGGGTAGCTATTAAATTCATTTCTTATAATTTAATTTTCATTCATTTAGTTAAGAAAAAAAGAAGGATTGCCTTTATAAAATGACTTCAAATTGTGTAAAATTTAAATGTTACGTCAGGCGCATCGATAAGTTTTTGACGCAAGTCATTGTGACGTAGGCAACCTAATTTATACGATATAAAGTAATTTTTTTTATCCAAACAAATCGCGCTTTACTATCAGAATTAAATTATTCAGTAATCACAACTTATTTTTTCTACATCAGTTACATCAAGTTCTGATTGAATGATATATTAACGATATTTTATGAAATAAATAAACAAACATTTGCGAAGGACAAAAATGTCATACACTCAAAAAAAAAACTCCAACCAAAAAAAAACAAGAAGAAGGAGGCAGAAAAGCGTAGAAATGTTCAGGACATTTAAATAATGTATAAAACTGCTTAAACCTTCTCACCTCGATGTAAGAAGGGTCCGAGAAATAAGATGTTTGTGAGATACATAGTGACTCAGGATAACTTGATGCAATAAGTGACGATAACTTAAAAACCATTTTAAAAAGATATATACGAAATGTTATCAAAGCACCTTCAAACATTTGGCGAAATATTTTTCTCCTATATCAACATTTATATTACCTTCAAGTTAGTGCGGAATATAAAATGAAGTTGCAGATTTTGTTCAGGATAAGAACTGTACAAAAGCATGGTTGAAGATGTATATTCAGCAAATTTCTACTCAAAGAATTTTTTTTAAAAGTTACGATGTTAAGTTGGAACTAATGCCATTGTCATAGTTACGCTGACTACTTTCTTTTCAGCTGTTGTTTATATTGATACAGCTGTTAACATTTGAATCTGCTGTTTTTTATGCAAAATGTTCTCATATTTATGGAACATAGATAGAAACTTCTAAGATTTAAATGGTTTGACTCTCAAATAAGTTTATTTTTATTAAAGAGAATGTCGATAATTAAAAATTTTACCCTGGCATCTCTCCATTTTACTGCTGTTTTATTTAGGTAATAACAGCGGCCTGCAAACGGATACCATCCAGACTCACAAACTGAAACATAATGAAAATTAAAACATGATGAACTAATAAATTAATTGAATTCAGTATTTCAAAGTAAGGCAGGTATTTTTTTTTATTGTGGATAATTAAGTTTAAAGCAAAAATGACTTTGCTAAAGACATAACTCCAAAATTTATAACTTTCCTTTTATTAAATTTTTATTACCAACAATCATTGTCTTACTGTCCCGCATGCTATACAAAATTTTCACGAAAGTCATACTTATTTTTATCTCTATTAGTTAAAAGTAACACTTAAAAATTTTCATTCTAGTGATCAAAGGGGTTTTTTTTTGTTCTAAGCACAGCACAATAAGTAAACACACTAAGGGATTTTCTCTCGTGTTTAGCAGACACGCCATTACTTTACAAATTCCAAATTCGTCGTTGCGGAGGAATCCAGAGCAGAGAGGGAAACGTTTCAAACAGTATAACACACAAAGATCGGGGGTAAGATTCTCAAAATGATCCAAAACATAATGATCGTGAATAGGGAACAAGTTGTCAAACGATGCATCCCCCGCCAATGTCATATGTTGAAAATCAGAACCTGCGTTTGCTTTTATTTGAATTACTCTCATCAACATCATTATTACTATCATCGTTTTCACTATCACGTTCACCATCCTGATTAAAGATAGATCGTATTACTTTGAAAGACAAAGATCCTTTTCTTTTGTGAACTTTATTTTTGAAAATGATAAACGATACTTTTTGTATGGCCAATTTGTCAAAACCGCACTGCTTAGAGATATAAACAAAATAAGCATGGATGTGCAACTTCTGTGCTTTTAGAAGATGCATAATTAAGCACGAATAATCCATTATTAATCTTTTCGAAGAAATTGAATTTTTTTTAAAAATTCAATAAAGTGATCTCACGTGTATATTCTGTAACGTTTAATCATATCCAATTTTTGATTAATTTCCCGAGTTTTATCAATATTAATAAAGATGATTGACTCGCTTTATTTAATATATAACGAATTACAATGAAGAATTAATTAAAAGAGGTATCGAGTGTTTCAGCTTATTCTCAAATTCTAATTATCCAGATAGTTATGTCACTAATACATGCATTCCTTACAAAAAGAAAGTCGTCGTCAATCAGTATCTAGATTAATGTTCACAAGGTTATTGTAGAACTTCAGTCAAAAATGAACGTAACACAAAAGTAACACAAATGTAACACAAAACACTGAATACATTCCACAGAGTTTAAGGTTTTGGAGGTACCATTTCAAAATTGAACATAAAATAATGCTTTTTGCACAAGGGTTTATCAATATTAATAAAGCTAATTGATTTTTTTTATTTAATGAATTACGAATTACCATGCAAATTTCATTAAAAGAAGTATTGAACGCTTCAACGGATTCTCAATATTCTTTTAGTCAGACAATTACATCATTAATAAATGTATTCCTTAAAATAAGAAAATAATTAATCAGTTTCTAGATAAATATTCTCAAGTTTATTTTAGTACTTTCCATTATATATAACAATATTCCTGTTTATAAGGTTGCGCAGTGGCAGATACCTAGCACGCGAATCTAAGTAAATTTACGGGTTTTTTATGGATATTTTGATAACATAGCATAGATAAATGTTTTCTTAGCTAAACTTCGCTGTTTTCTCTAAAGACATACCTCATAATTTGAAACGTTTTATCTATCATTAGCAAAATCATAAGTGAAGATAATGCTACTGTGTGTTAAGTCATTTATAATTAGAGCAAACCGTTCAAGGTAGCTCAGTCGGTAGAGCGCTCGCTCCGTGATCGAAAGGTCGTGAGTTCGAATCTCGGCCGCGACTGACCCAAGTCGATAAAATATGGGTAGCAACTGTTCCTTCGCCATGCGCTCGGCACTTTGAAGTGAAAGTTGCGGGTCCTTCGGATGAGACCTTAAAAACCGAGGTCCCGTGTCACGGAAGACGTTGTCACGATAAAGATCCATCACTGTTCAATGGCCCTGAGTGCAGAGTAAAGGTCAAAATTTGAAGCCGTTCACTGGTATATGGTGACGTCTCTATATGAGTGAAAAATTCTCGAATGGGACGTAAAACAACATACAATCAATCAATCATTTAGAGCAACTTATGAATCATCTAGATTGTTGTGAGAAAGGGTTACGTACATGGTTTTCTCCTAGCAAATAATAGGGTCTCTTCAAGCCCTTTTTCCTCATTTCTCAGCTTTTTTTTTCAATCATCGTTAGTGACATTATATGGCTCATCGTCTAACATTGTCCATAAATCCTAATAAACTCCAATGAAACTAAAATCTACCTTATTAATAAGACACTAAAGATGGTAACTGTTTCGGGATCATTTAAAACAAAGGGATGATTTGTCTCTGTCTTACTGTTATATTCAGCATAACTAAATAATCTACATCATAATCACGACAATCTTTAAATCTTCATCTTCATTATGCTTATTAGAGTGGATGAGCACCTTATGTAGTAACATATGAGCTCTTGAGAAATTATCTATATATGCAACAACCCCTTGCGTTGTAACATTTATCTCGTGGGATTCATCCATAATTATGAATACGTAGTTTGGGATTTGAATCATAATCGTCGATATATGAAAAAAATTATTTGCAAAAGAATGTGTCGCTGTGGACAAAAAGTTGTAAAGCCAAATATTTCCTGGGCTCTATCCGAGAACATATACAAGTCCAAAGGAAAACCATTAAGATAATATCCATGAAATTACTAGAGTTTAAATAATTGGCGACATTTATACAAAAAAGTGAAATATGCAGGGACACAAATGGATTTGACAAGTAATGATTATGGTCTCCAAAGCGTCACATAAATTGGTTGGAAAAAGACGTATAAGTAAATAGTTACCAGATTGAACATGGCATGTGCTAAGAGTCAAAGAAAAGCTTTTATTTTAATGATCATGTCAACAAATTGATGCTTCCTTTCTCTATGGATTCTTCTTTTTGAGTATCTTTTTTTAAACCAAAGGGTGCGGAGACAATGCATGCTGAAAGAAATAAAACTAAAGGCAAGGTGTAGATTGATTTATCATTTATACTGAACTACTAAATTTGAAAAATAATATTGAAAAAAGATGTCAGTGAATATTTAAAAAAAATTTAATGCATCTAGAAAACAGGTAGTTAAATTTTTTTTTTATATTTGAAGAAAGTAAAAGTAAGGCAACAAACACCAATAGAAATCTTGGTGTGTTTAAGATATGGTTGCCTTTATCACGTTCTCGTATGAAATACGCGTATTCATGTATGGCTTAAATGGCCTATAGAAATCCTGTTGTATACAGAAGCCGGTCATATCTTTGAAATGAGTGTCTTATAAAATTCTCTCACAGACAAAGGCGTGTAGATATTGACAGTTAGTATCAATCCACATGCCTATATGCAACGTTTCATTGTGCTTCATTAATATGCAGTTCCCCCAACCATCAGGATTCTCAGATTTCCATAACTGATAGGAAAGGGGGCTTCTGCTTTTGTGCCATTTTATTGTGCCGTTTCTTCTTGATGTTCCTATCCATACTTTGGACTCACGCTGATTGTTACCATTACCTGCAAATCAACAAGTAAGGAATATTTGCCGCCTTCATCTTTGGGAATGAATAACTATATAAAGAAGACTCTCTACATGAACTGCAAAGCATATAATTTTTTTTTTTGGCAAACTAGAGTATTTGTTTACATATTAATTTAAAAATGGTAATTTATAACACGTTCTTTGGTTATATCAAAATTATTGCAAATTCTTAGTTTTATGATATAAAAAGATATGACCCGATCGTAATAAATATTTTCACCTCAATGCTTATTGATGTCCTGTTATAACCCGTATGGTAAAACTGTAGAACGTCGACATTTTCTGTTTGAAAATTGCTATAATAACAGAAAATATCGAGGGAGGTTACATATAAAATACTTAAGAAATACGTGGACAGGACTTCCCAATCACTTCGACATATCCATGGTATTCGAGATATCCGTGTTCGAGAAACCGAAGTTCAACTCTAGGTACAAAAATAAATTCTACATCAAATAGCAAGGCTTTACCTAATGCAAGAACCACTAAATCGATTTTGGAATGATGTGTTTACTTTTTATGCACTTCATCTTTCAGGAAAGATGAAGAAAAGTGTGTCAGACCTTCGGATATGACTGAATTTAATATTTATACCCTTATCATTGTAAGCATATGTACATTTTCTTCCGCTAATTTGATTATAATGAATAAAGGTTTAAATAATATTGAAGGAATATATGAAATAGATAATGAAATTATTTTGAACAAAATGTATATGATCTAAAAATAAAAAAGCTCTTCTAGGTAGAATTATCATGCATTGTGGTATAGTCTTTAATTTTATAATACGTGATTAATGCAGAGGGAGATAATGCTCACATATTTCACTTATACAATGTAGCTTTTTTTCATTGTAATTCTTACCAATCGCCGATAAAAACATCTCTGATAACCATTTGTTCTCTTCTGGTGAATTCACCTCCACTAAGTACGAGTTCTGACTTTTACACTGAATCTAAAATATCATATTGAAGCATTAATAAATTTTATGAAAAAAAAATTGTTTCAGCAAATGTTCAGGTAACTGAAGAAAGATGCAGATCTAAGTAACACATACAACAATTATACTGATTCATTTTTATACTTCCTTTCTTAATCTGGCACACATTTTGATGAGTATGGGTTTATTATATACATGTGTACTTCTATTTTAAAGCCAAGCATACAAATGGTGGCCCATACAGAGAATTTTGAAAATTATGAAATATCAAAAAGCTTACAATATTTGAATATCTGTCTGTCGTTTTGATTTCATTGGCTTCTTTTTAAAAAAAAACTACTTTTAGTTAGCAACTCTCCATTTTACTGCTGTTTTATTCAGGTAATAACAGTGGCCTGCAAACGGATCCATCCAGACTCGCAAACTAAAAACAGAATTATTTCTTTACTTTTTATCAAACATTTACTATTTATATCAATTATTAAGATGATGTGATAATTTTGAGTCACACGCATTTGTATATGAAAAAGAAGAAAAATAATGTGAGCAGTTACGTGTATCTTCCTTATTTTGTACACTTTTTAAAAAAAATTCAATCATTAAATAATGCAAATGAACATATTGGAATCATACCTTTATCATTACCAAAAAATTCCCAACCATCTCTTCCTTCAAGAAATCTCATGTTCATTAGACAAGCCATCACTTTACAGATTCTGAGATTACCGTTGTACAAGACTCCAGAGCAGGTTGAAAAAGCCTTAAAACAGTATACAACACAGGAGTCCCGGGTAATATTCTCAAAATGATCCAAAATATAATAATCGTGAATAGGGAGCAGGTTGTCAAACGCCGTATCCCTTGACAATACTATATGATACAAACTGGAACCATTGTGTGTTTTTATCATCTTTATGATCATCCATATCATCACCGATCTTGCTATCATCATCCAATTCATAATTTTAATGAAAGCGATTACACATGTGACTATTGAAATATCAATAAAATCCATATATTTTGTATACTAAGATTTTAAAAGTGATAATTGGTACTTTTAGTATGTACATGGAAAATAAAAAACAAATAAAGTTGGCGAGTTGATTTTTTTTCTAATTGATATATAGTTGATGGAAAATCTGAAACAAAATTAACCGCAATTTATCCTTAAAAATTCAGTGGTGTTTTAAATTCTTTAAATTTCAAAATCTCAGAGCAAATCATTAATTTATTCCCAAATTAAATCATTTAAGTACCATCATATTTAGTGCAACTAATTATTTCAAGTATCATCAATATTAAATAAAAATAGCTCTCTTTCTCTATTCATCACCCTTTGTCATAAAAAAAAGAATTTTGTGGAAAAAAAACATTGAGCTTTTGAACAAAGATTTGTCTGGTTAATTTGTATCAGTTAATCATTAAAAAGCATATGAGTTGATTGCTTTAAAAATAATAGAATACTTTTAAAGTCTATATCAATATTCTGACACATGTTTTTTAAGGTTATTTCGCACACTTCAATCAAAGCTTAAATCAACACAAAATAATTTAGAATCCATGCTCACCCCTCACAATTATGCAAAAGGTAATTCTTTTTAGTTTTAAGGTCAGATATGTATTATTCAAAGGACACATGCTTTGTTTTGTGCATAACATTCCAAACAAAGGAAAATCCATATTTTTTCTTCGAACCAAGAAAATTTGACACCATGAAAACATGTGATTTTACAGTAGGTCATCAATATGTTTCAGACGAAAATTATAACAACCAAATGCTTTGTCTGTATATTAAGTTTGTTCTGGTCTTTCAATGATTTTTTGTAGAGCAGCATATCGTAAAACATGTTGACAAAAGCAGCTTTGAAAAATACAAACAAGCCAAACAGCGAGGTTGATAATGATGTAGTCACCAAAAACAGAAAAGACTGTCATATCCACCAGAGACTTTATAACCAAAAAAACCTACAAATGTATTTGTTTAGAGGGTGGAAAGGGGATGCCTGGGATATTCCAAGCAAAGTCATTTAAATGTTCAAAACGGAAACAAAGACAAGAGCTTGGCAATGTTATACAAAATTATTGAAAGACTCCGCTTCGGTACAAATGATGAAGCAAGCTAATAAGTTTCGTTTCAGTTTTAATATACAACAAAATGACAAGATTCATTAGCAACTATATACTAATAGCAGTGATACACAGGTTCATGTAATTCCAAGTCGAAAAACTCATCGCTGAAACTATGAAATGAATAATAACATTTTCAATTTAAGAAATGATCGATCATATGACTTTAATTATAATCTACAAGGAGATTAGAAACATTATGCGTTGTCTAGATTTACTTAAATAACACAAACAAAATTCATTTATTTCTATTTAAAACACCTTCTTATTTTATAATCTAAGTTAAAATTCATTTTAGAATCTTACCATTTTTTAAAATCTTTGATTTGATTCCAATGTATGTCAACATATATGTCCATGGAAAATGAAATTGTATTAAAACATCTACATGTACACATTCACACTGTTAATTAATATTTGATTAACAACACAAACAAAAGGAACATTGAACAAAATACAAAATGCAAATATGTTTAAGGCAAATGAAATGTTGGACCTATAAAAAATAATTGTTAATTAAAATTTTAAAAAATTTAAATCGACCATTATAGAAATCACTAGTGTCTTACCAGCACTTAACAAATAAAATATGTCAGTATCTTGGAATTTTGAATTTCTCTTTAATCTGCAAAGTAAATTTTAACTTACCTTGATCGTTGTGTTAAAAAATCACGCGCGTTTTCGCGATACTCTTGCAGAGAGAGAGAGAGGAAGAGAAAGAGAGAATGAAAGAGGTAAAATTACCTGCATTTTACCTTTATTTATCTTTATAATTTTAAGTGTAGATTTTACTCAAACTTGTCTTTTTTTAATCAAAATAAATTTTGAAATAAAAAAGAGAATTTACCTCGTAAATATTCAGGGGAAGCTGTTGTGTTGCTGGTACCCTGAAGTACACATCTGAAAGATAAAGAAAAATAGAATATTAAGCCATGGTGACTATTGTTCTATCAAGAATATTAGATATACAAAATCTCATTTAACATGAAATACTTTTATTATGCATCCAAAGCAATGAAATAAATATTCTGGAACATTCTAGAATATTTACATACGATGTATAATTTGTACGATGCTTCACAGAAAAAGGTGACGCTTTATCGCAGTCACAGGTAATTTGTTTTCCAGGTATATATACCTGTAAGAACCGTCCTGGGAAACACACTGACCAACTTTACAGGGACTGGAATCACAGTATGTATAGGACAATTCACAAAGTTTTCCCGTGTAGAACACACCGTTAATCTGTCTACACAGACAGACATACAGTCCAGACTTAGTGGGCTTACATACACCGCCATTATGACATGTTTGATTTTGACAAGGATTTGGAGAAACTTCAACTGTAAAATATTTTAGTGCGGTTTTCTTAAAAAAATCAAAAATTCATGTAATTTAAAAAATGTCTTCATAAGATCTTTTTTTCAAAATATTGATTGGGACTCCTACTTTTGCACTGCTGTTATTGCTTGAATTCATAATCAATCAGAATATACAAGTATTAGTATATACATGTATGTTATTAAATTTTGCACGATCAGCATTTGCACAAGATTTTAAATATTGAAATTTTCTAATAAAATATTTAATCATAATTATTAATGAAAGATTTTGAAACAGAGGTGGAGATTTCCATTTACCTGCATTAATTCTTTCCCTTAAGGTGTGTGTGCACAAGAAGATAATGTAACAAAATACCTGCTGTTGTTGCTGTCTGTCTACATTGAGGACCAGCGAACCCTCGGGCACATATGCAATGGTAAGTAAAGTTAGCTGTAGCCTGACAAATCCCGTAGCCACAGTCCGCTTCCCGGCACGGGTTTATCTCTTCTGTACAAAAGGCTCCTTGAGATAAGAGACGTGAAAAAAGGAATCATCATAGTGTTTGAAAAAATATGTCATTCAAGTACTTAAGATTTGTAGGTATATTACTTAATCAATAACTAAGACTGAAATAAATGCGTTAGAAAAAATGTTTATTTTGAAAATATTAAGAAAAATGAAAAAAAAAATGTTCTTAACAAAAAATAAACAAAACGTATACCAAAAAATACAAAAAAAAACATACAAAAGTGATCCAGTTATAAAATTCTAAGAAGGTTTGAAAATTGATGGGCAGTAATGATAAAGATAAGACTGTCCTTTGTTCATACTATCATAGATTAAGTTTTGGAAGGTATCTAAATCAGAAAGATGGCTACCTGTAAAGCCATTATCACAGATGCAGATATGACCACCTTTTTTGTTTTCACACCTGCCGTGGACACAAGGCGAATTCTTGCAAAAATTAATTTTGTCATTGCACTTATCCCCTTCGTATCCTTGATCGCACCTGCAGTAGACATTAGGTGATGACGTCAAATTCATGACGCAAGTTCCGTTTTCGCAATCTAATCCGCTGCAGAGTCGAGGAGTTCTACAATCAATTCCTTCGTACATGTTGTCACAGAGACACCTATATCCGGTTTGGTCTGAGACGCAGTGTCCATACCCACAGTCAATGCCCTCGCAATGGTTGATGACGTAGTTACATAACTTTCCTGTGAAGCCCGACTGGCAAACACATGCGTACGTATGGTTAGGAGCATATATCATACAATCACCTCGAACACATGGATTTGGGGTGCAAGGATTATTGTCCCTAATTTCACATCTTTTCCCTGTATAACCAGGTTCACAATTACAATGATAGTCATTACCACTATCAACACAAGACCCATGTCTACATGGTCTCATTAAGCATGGATGGAACTTGACATCACAGTTTTTGCCGACGTAGTTCTGTTCACACTGACATCCGTAGCTGTTCCTTCCGGTAGTGAAGCAGGAACCGTGTATACAAGGGTTATTTGCACACATCCCCAAATATCTCTCACAACGCTTTCCAGTAAAGTTACCCAAACACACACAGGAATAATCATTCACATGATCCACACATGTGCCCCCAAAATAACACGGACTACTGGAACAGTCGTCAATATTGGTTTCACACAATATTCCTGTGAATCCTGGAAAGCATGCGCACTTAAAGTTACGTCCTGATGGTTGACAAGTCCCTTCATTTCCACATAGGATGTTCTGACATAGGTCTTTCTCAGGTTCGGATTGACCTGAATAATGTGTTAAAACTTTACAGTAATCACATATGGTCATCCATGCACCTATATTTGTACAGGTATGGTTAATATGTGTAGCTTTGACATTAAATGATGTAAAGATGCTACTAGATTTGCTTATAAACCTAAAGAAAATACAATTTGCTGATGAATGAACAAGCAAATTTTATTTCATTTAAAAATAACTTCCAATTGAATCTTTTCCCTTGTTCAAAATGTGAGCCGTGTATTATGAGTTATTGTTAAGTGATTAACAAAGAAACAACAAAAAATATACTCTTACTGAACTCATATATTCCTTGGAATGCCATGGCTGTGTGTGTTGCTCGAAATCTTACATATAAACTACTAGACGATGAATTTACCGCATAAATGTGACTCGTCATTAAACAGATTCTAGCTATCACTGGAGAGCTTTCGTCCAGTCCATCGTGTACCGTTATCCCTGCTTCTGGTTCGTTGCAGACGTTTGATTTGAAGTAAATAGTGGGAAATGTCAAAGTTATTTTGTTGTTTTGAGGTGCCTGAATGGTCACATGACAGTCCAAATCCAACATTGCCATATACGGGTACTTCAGTGACGCAATAGCATGAGGAGCGTAGTTTGATGACAAGGTAGCATTACAAGGCCATGCTAGAAAATATGTGATGGTCTATAGAGTTTGATAGGTTTGAAAAACTTTCATCGCCAAATACGTAATTTAAAAAAATGTACTTTTAATATTTACAAACATATCATATGAAGGAATTAAATGTAAGAGCGAAGTGTACAATTATAAATCAGCTTCGTTTGTCTGAATTGCTGCCGTATCATTCATTACGTTCGCTAATTTCTAGTACGTATACATGTATTTAGTCCCCTTCATATTCATTTGGTCAAATATCAATGTATAATAGTAACATATACAGTAAAACACGCTAGCTTATAACAAAGTACCAGAGATGGACGATTTTGCTTCGTTATAAACGTAACTCTTAATATCACTTAAGTTAAAGCTAAGGGGAATGAAAATCACTTTGCTATAAGATTTCATTATAAGCGTGTTCGCTATTTGCATGTTTTACTGTCCAGTTTTGACTTCAGTGTTCATTCATATATTTACAGACAGCACCACAAAACTCACTGGTAAAGTACTGGTAATGGTCATACAGGGATGTGTGTATCAATGCTGTGTCATTTGATTGGCTGGTATACAACATGTTACTAAGACCACACGTGCCGGAGGTGTGGCTAAAGGAGAATGACAAGCAGCTATGGGTGTGACTTATGACGCAATGAAAGGAACACTCCTCCAGACTTGAATTCTGCTTGATGTGGTAATAACTGCTTTGTTTACTGAGGGCAGAATTTGGAATCTTACGAAATAGATTCTTGTAGGAAGCTGAAACAAAACAGGAAGAAAGAATTCGAGTAATTATTTTTTTCCCTTCACAATTTTGATGCCAATATAATTATTTACTAAAAATTTCGTGAATTCAAAATAAGAAATTGGCATACCTTTTGATCTTTCGTAGAAGTCCACCCTACTGTTGTCATGGAGACCAAGGTAACCATCTTGGACAAGTAATGTCGTCATGTTTGTGTAGACACACATTCTACTTCCGGCCGTGTACTCAAACGCATAACAGGGAAACTGTCGCGTCCGAAAGTAGATCGTGCACTTGGCGGCGCACATCTCCAGACTGACGTCTTTTTCAACTTTTATGGAGTGTGAAGGAATAGGGGCAATGAATTTTCCAGGAACATGAACATATTCACTAACAGGGCTGACTGAAACAAATTATATTTCAATACACATTTCAACACACTTAAGGTTCATCGATACTCTGATAAGAGAGATAACTCTTAATTAAATTTCTATTATTTCTTTATAAATTTGTCAAGTTGAAGTGTCTTTTTTGTCCAATTTTGCCCCATAAGCTATGCTATAATTGTTTGTATTTTACTTAACAAATACATTTCTTCTGGAAAATCATAAGAGTTAAAGAAACATTTTATATGAGTGAGCAGAGAGTATATGAATCTTAATTGAACTGTACTGAATTTATTAATCTCATCACAATTCTTATAATTGTATACAAAGATATACATAAACAATAGTGACAAATTAAAACAGGTTTTATAGCATGCGTGAGTAGGGATATACACAAATAGTACATTTATAGTGTGGGTATTTACTATGTCAGGGAGCACGTTATGGTAATATTTCCAATATTAAATGTACACAGTTTTCTTTAAAAGGTTTTTTTTTTAATTTATTATTTCTCTAAATGTAATAATTCTAAAAGGTAATTGCTTTGGTGATAAATATTTTTTTTTCTTTTAAATCGATGAACTTGTTTATGATAGACACACCTAACAAGGGGAATAATAATGATTTAATTGACTTTGTTGCGTAGTGGTTAGAGCTTTAACAGCATGCCTTACAGCGAGCTTTGGAGAGTTCGAATCATATGTGAGGTTCTTTTTTTTTTCCTTTTCACATACCTTATAAACAACTGAAAAATGAATAATTATTTATCAATGATTAATTCAATAAATAAAGGAATCAAATGTGCATGTAAAAAGGTGATACTGACAACAAAAGTTTTGAAAAATATAACTTTTCAATGAACTTCTAGAATTGAGAAATATTTTCTCACTGAGCTGTGATTTTGTCCTCGCCTTTTATGCCTCCTTTCTTTATTGCTTAATTGATTAACTTGAGGAACATTTTATTTTTACTAGTATTCCACTATTCTGTGGTATATTATACAGGTAATATAAACTGTGACTTACCTATAGATGTGACAAGTGGTAATATAGAAAAAGTGAAAAACGCAATGGAATACATGGTACACTGACAACCCGAAATGTAATCTCCTGCACTATATACATTCAGATAATAATTATCACAGCTGCAGGTGCTTCCTAAACAAAATCATTCTATCAAGCTGGATATGGATAAAAGAATTGATTACAATGTACACGTTTACTATTCATTCACAACAATGTGGTTATATAAGTCCCTATCCCAAACACTTGCTGTCTTTTTCAACAATAGCGTCACGCGCTTACTCTCTTCATTGGTAGACGCCAAACGTTATCTTTAAAAATAATCATTTCTTCTTAAAAGTGTAAGTACTTCTCTGAGAGGGCCTTTGGGTTGTATTTCAGCCAAGTCTATGGCGGACAAAAATAAAAGAATCTTCAGCAATTAAAAGGACAGTGGAATAAAAAAAATTCAGGACTTTCTTAAAAACCTAAAAAATGTACATGTACATTGATATAAGCGGTCTTCCAATTGAAATCCTTGTTATCATTTTTGCTGTTGCTTGTAGTAGAGAGACGAAAAAGGGAAAGTTTTATACTAATTATCAGCTTTTCCTCTTTTGTGCTAAAAATTTGACATTATATAATTTAATGTTTCTTAAAGGTACTCATCTTTTTTAACTCACATTAATAGTAATTATATGTTAAAATCAAGGGCCTTTGGATCGCCTAAATCCGACTTACGAAAAATATGGGGTGTAAAAAAAAATACTTTTTTTTACACCCCAAATTTTTGTAAGTCGGATTAAAGCGATCTAAAGGCCTGCGGTTGAAATTAACGTAGATGTACTTACAAGGCAGAGAACATAGGAAAATACAGTAAATCACTTTTTATTCACGACAACTTTATTTTCGCGTAATTATGCGATGCTGTGTACTCGCAAAAATTTAATGCTAGCATATTATATAGTTTTTTAATACTAAACATCGATTTCCTAGTTTTGGATGTCGTCGGTCGTAAAACAGCACAGTGTTTCTCATTTAAAATTCTTTTTTTTTTTTTGGCATAATTATTGGGGCGGCGATCTCCGCACCTGCCGCCCCTTTGCCGACGCGCCTGTTATAGGTATTTTTTTGTTACAGCTATATCTATTTGCATATCTAATTCTTCTGAGCAAACCGTGCAACACGCCTAATATGAAAGGTGTTGACTACATATCTATTTGCAAATCTATCTTGTACATACTTGTGAAAACAACATGAAAATAAGACATGTAGTTACAACTAAAACGTGGGTTGATACAACAAAATTGGAACTTGCACCAAGAAAAGATGTGCAATAATTAATGAAAGAGTGAGCAAGCTCAAATACCCCTACGCTCCCCCAAAACTCGACAATGCAACATGTAATGAATGGCACAGTGCATTTTAAATACACAGTATAATTCAAAAAGGGGCATTACATGTACTTGATAAAATCATCACATCAAACCTTCTTGCATATAAGGACATTCAAATCTTTGTATGTTACAAATTAATTGCATGGGCTGAAGTTTCTAGATAAATAATGGAATCAAAATTTCTTGGTAATATACAAATCTATACATTATGTCTGAAATACCTACAAAATTTCAGGAAATTCAGTGCAGGAGTTATGCCGACAAACTGTTATTTAAATTCCTCAGTGATTTCGATTTATCAATGAGTGTAAGTCCATGTCCAACACATGACAATTTACACATTTAAATAATTGATGGAAACAAAATTATGATGTAGTCATATGAATTTGTTTATATACTGTACTTATGAAATTATCTAAGGCAAAGCACCAATTTGAAGGGGGGGGGGGGGGTAGAACTATCCAATTTCTTATGTGTGTGTTAAATCATTAATATTTTGATCTCAAAATCAATAGGGGTCTTTTAAGGTCATAAAATATTTCACATAAAATTTCATTACAAAAGCTGATTCCAGTGGATTTCCTTATTACCTAGCTGGAAAGTTTCTTCGACGATAGGCAAAACTCTTAGGGCAAAAAATAATGGAATCGGAATTTCCTGGTAATATGCACACCTACACACTGTGTACTAAATAACTGCAAAGTTTGACCAAATTCTGTGAAGCGGTTTATGAGGAGTTGCGCTGACAAACTGTTCATCTCTATATTCAAAATATGGCCAAAAATCTAAGTTGAAAAGTGCCGAAATTCCCAGAAAAATAAAGGAATCGGAATTTCCTGGTAATATGCACATCTACACTTTGTGTCCTAAATATCTGCAAAGTTTGACCAAATTCTGTGCAGCGGTTGATGAGGAGTTGCGCTGACAAACTGTTCATCTCTATATTCAAGATATGGCCAAAAGTCTAAGTTGAAAAATGCCGAAATTCCAAGAAAAATAATGGAATTGGAATTTCCTGGTAATATGCACATCTACACATTGTGTCCTAAATATCTGCAAAGTTTGACCAAATTCTGTGCAGTGGTTTATGAGGAGTTGCGCTGACAAAAAAAAAAAACAGGACTGACTGACTGACGGACGGGTCAAAAACATTATACCCCCCGCAACTTGATAAAGACGCTGACAGTTTTTATTAAATCGTCCAAACATACACAGATTCAGTTCATGGCTTCTTCTTTTGACTCACAGCAAAGAAATCGACTCGGAGGCTGTTTCGTTATAAAATACAAAATAATATCACTATTATAGAGGAATATCGCCATTACAATAGTGTTTGCGTTTGTGTTCGACTTATATACAACTATTTGAATATTAATGATAAAAATATTTGAATGTACTCATTTATTTATATATGATTCAGCAAGTTATAGTTACATAACATAATGAAGAAACACATTTAGAACAAGTACAAAATGGATTAATATTGGTTTGTATAATGCTATATAATTAAAAAATTAAAAATCTGTATAACTAAAATATTTGTAATTAAGATAGACACAAAGTTAAACAGCACTTGTCCAAATAATTATATAAAAGAGAATGGCAAACACTCATCATCTAAATACAGTGGGTGTATATTAAATGTAAAATACATGTACATGTATACCATGGAATAATGTCCCCATGTAAAAATTGCTATATTCTTTCTCAACTCTTTTAAAAAGTTGTAACAAATAATGAAGTGTATAAAGAAATTTTACAGCAAAAAAATTCATTACATGAAATCAAACAACCTTTAAAAGCTTCAACATGAATTAAAAAAAAAAGAGGGTCCAGAGTTTTTATTAATTGTAACTTTAAGGTAAGTCATCTTTCTTTTCCTCACTAAGATTGTGTGAAGAAAACTTTTTTGTGACATACTTTGAACAATGCAATGAATCCGTATACAATTTTACAAAAACTATTAATTTTTTACCGACCTTATTCTATTATACCCATAGGAAGATGAAAGAAGACAAAATGGCCCTTTTTGAACCAAGTTGATCTCCCTTTCACCCAGAGACAATTTTTTTCGGGTTTAATTGACATTCCTCCTATGATGCTGGAGAAGTCCACAAAGTGAAGAGACAAACAACATACAGACAAAAGGATGGCACCTTTAGGTTAAAATAAAAACGAAGGCTAAAGTGAGCATAAAAAGATAATTCTCCCTATCAAATATAAAACAAAATACGGACACAATTAAAACTGTTCAGTAAGATTAGGCATTTAATCAAAGAATGTACCTGTGTTACTGATGAAAATGTTACATTGTCCAATGAATATGAATTTTTTTTTTTTAAAAATGCAAAATTTATTGCACTATAATATTGACTGATTGCATTCTACTGTACTAGTTAAACAAACTTCTACGTTGGACAAAATTGCATTCACACTTATAGTTTTTATACATGTACATTATTTATGTGAAGAAAAACATGTTACATGTATGTACTAAAGAGCCGTTAATTCCATGGTTGCCTTAATTACAGTATTTTGCAGTATAATCTAGTAAAAATATATAGAAATGTAAAAAAAAAAAAATCTGATTTCCTTTTCCTTCATATAAAGAAATGAAGGAATTTGCTGAAGTGAAAACACAAAAAAATTAAACCTTTATACTGGATACTTAGAAGGAAAAATTAATTCAACCATGGAATTTCTTCAAAGGACTCTTCAGTCGCCCGCGTGGCGCAGTGGTTAGAGCGTCTGCTCTAGAGTCGCGAAGTAAGGAGTTGATCCTTACGTCGCAGGTTTGAATTATCCCACTGTGGGACGTGGAGACCGGTCCTTCGGATGAGACCGTATAAACCGAGGTCCCGTGTCACAGTAGGTGCTGGCACGAAAAAGATCCCTCACTACTCAATGGCCGTAAGTGCCGAGTATAGGACAAAATTTGCAGCTCTCCACCGGCAAGTGGTGGCGTCTCCATATGAGTGAAAAATTCTCGAGAGGGACGTGAAACAACATATAAACAAACAAACACAGGACGCTTCATAGATAGAGTAAAAATGTCTAATCTGATACTGTGTATTATGATGTCATACCTACTACAATATAAAATTTTTGTCCCTTCCAGTAATTCTATTGTTTGGTAAGTTGTCTAACCCAGAATGTTGTTTAATGTGGCCAATTTCTATGAAACCAATGGTGTCCCTATTGGACAAGTTTTACTGTTCTACAGTTCAATTTGTATGTCACGTACACATTCAAATATTAGCAGTTTCAGATTGTTTAAAGAACTGTACAATTTACTTACATGTATACATTATATATATAAACACGTGTTTCCTATACAAAATGTGTCTATGAAAATAAAAATACAATTGCCAACAAAAATTTGTAAAACAATGTTTGACTGAAGTCACCCTATTCTGATTGTTTAACAAATCCTAAATGATTTCATGGCCATATAATTATTACTGATAATTTCTCATCATTGTCTGTAAACTGTTTGTAGTGTGATTCTCCATTAATAAACTGTATGGTAAATATGTGACTTCTAAAGATGACTTGTAAATAATTTATACATTTAAAACATTTCCAAGATTGTAGCCCTATTTGTGGAAACATACTTATTTAAGAACCTCTATGAGGTGTGCGACTTTGAATGACTATCAAAGATGGCTTGTATACAAATATTAAAAATTTAACTGCAATTACAGCCCTATGAGAGAAAACATACATACTAGGTATTTCCTTGCTTTCTGAACTGCTCTTGTCCATTAATTCATATACAAGCATATAATTATATGAATAAAATGCATAGTACAAGACTTTTTAAGACTTACCAGTAAGCGAGCTAATTTATGAATTATGATTTCACTATCAAGTGAGGGGGAAGACTGCATTTGACTTTTTGGTGGGCTAATTAATGTACACAACTAACAAGCATTTTCAATGTATACATTTAGGTACACTGTATTATCAAACAAAAAAATATTGCAGCCAACAACCAGTCCATGGTGTATTTTTAAGATACAGATTAGTCCCAAAAAACACAATCAGAGACTATTTTGGAAACTCTCCACAATCACAATGAGGTTCATCAACAAAAGGAAAATTATATTAAGAGTTCGAACATTTAAGATTTTAACAAATAGTGTGATTCTGAGAATACATTTAACATAATCAATCATATTATAAGAATTAATAATGAAACTTGAGAAAAAAGATTTCAATGAGTTGCTCATACACAGCAGTAGTGATCTTCACTGGTTGTTAAATCATTGTACGACTTCATAAAACTAATCAATTATAGCACTTGGTTAATTATTTACTCAATACACAGCACTAAGCACATAAAATACAATATACAATGTAAGTTCATAAATAAATGATATGAGGACTATGAGGTAATCTTTAACATGGCTGAGCTACCACTTATTCCTAACTCCTCATGTCTTTTTCAGATTCACTCCCATTTCACAATGGGTTTCCCTACGTTTTCAAAATAGATCCTGGGTCTATAAAATTTGGAATTTAACACATGCAAAGATTTCAGATTGTAATATTTTTCTTTAGTATTTCTGACTTGAAATTTGATTGGGGAAAAAAAGTATCTGAAAACTGATTTGGAAAATGAAAATTAAGCTGATTTCTCTTAATTGGGAATGGATCCAGTAACCATGGTAACTGGACCCCATAATTTCAGGAAAATCTTCTAGTCCCTTTTTTCTTTTCCCAGCAGTATTACTTTTATCTCTTTCAAAATACAGTTGAACTTCGGTATCTCGAACACTGATATCTCGAATACCATGTGAAGTGATTTGGAAGACCAAAGCCCTTATTCTTTAAGTATTTTACCCTGGATATCTCGAATCCTCGGATACCTCAAAGTTTTTCCATCGAGTTCGAGATAACGAAGTTTGACTGTAATTATCCTTTCCACATAACATTCTTGCTTATCATGCTTCAGGTAATGTGACCCTGTGCTAAAAGAGATAACTCTGAAATGGATAAATTGCTGTTTCCACTAGAAATGTTTCATCTTAAACTACAATATATATTATAATTTGTCTCAATTTCACCTTATTTGGTATATTAAGTTTGCTTGAATTTTATTTTAACCACATCTGTTAGTAAATTATCGCAGTTTAGGAAAAAAGATTCAATTTAGCCAGCAGAGGGTTATTTCAACCAATTCATATCACTTCATATATGATCTTGACTATGATTCATCAATATTTTCATCATCTGATTCCATATTAAAATTATTCACTGTATTTGTTAAATCCATGCTTTCATTCTCACCACGACTAAGATCCAGGGATGTTTTGCTATCATCCGGATCCCAAGAATCATCAGTCATGTGATGCACGTTCCTCAAATGCCTCTTAAGGTGGTGTCGCCATTTAAAACAATTCCCACAGATATCACAAGGAAACTTCCTAGCCTTCAATTGTGTGGCTTTATCTGCATGGACATTGTCTTTGTGTCGTTTAAGGTGGTGTTTCCATTTGAAGACACTTCCACATTCTGTGCACATGAATGGGTGTTCATCAGAATGAGTCCTGTAGTGGCATGTTAGTTTGTCCCTTCGCTTGAAGGATTTGTCACACAGTTCACAATGATAAAGTCTGAGGTCTGAATGAACTGTTTGCTTGTGAAGCTTCATCTGGTGATTTCTCTTAAAGCTAGCCTGGCAGATTTCACACTGATATGGTCGGTCATCTACAAACAAATATTAAGATTATAACAAGTTAATTCAAGGAATTTATAACCTCCAGCTTAAGGACAGAAATGTATTTTGATATCAGCTAGTCTTTGGACCAAGTCTTCCAACAAACTGTTGGAAATCCAATGGGCACTAATTTAGCTCCTTTATTAACAGACCTGTTTTTAAATTCGTATGAAGCAGAATTTATTCAAAAACTTCTACATGAGAAGAAGAAAACACTTGCCGTGGCCTTCAACTAAACATTCAGAAATACTGATGACATTTTATCAATTAAAATAGTTATTTCCATTTATACATGTATGTTGACTCAATTTATCCCAGCGAACTTGAAATAAAAGACACCACAGAGTCTGTCACTTCTGCTTCATATTTTGATGTTTCACTGACTATAGATGACAAAGGCCAACTAACAACTACATTGTATGACAAAAGAGATGACTTCAGCTTTTTCATCGTCAACTTTCCTTATTTATGTAGTAATATTCCACTACCACCTGCATATAGTGTTTAGTCTCCCAACTTATTCACTATTCAATAGCATGCTCTAAGTACGACCCGTTTTTAAACCGAGGCGGCTACTCACACAAAAGTTGATGTTACAGGGATTTCAACAACCTCATTTAAAGTCAGCATTCTGTAAATCCTATGGTCTTTATAATGACCTTGTAAAGAAATATAACCTATCACTGGATCGTATTGGGCTGTCTTGTTTCCTACTAATTGTAAGACCTTTGTTTTTAAACTAAATTTGATTAAAGAATTACGGAATGTTCTGTCTACTTGATCAATACACAGGGGTCACAGTGGGTGTGACCAGTCAACAGGGGATGCTTAGTATAGCTTACTCCTCCAAGGCACATGATCCCACCTCTGGAATTTCCAGGGGTCAGAATTTATGCCCTGTTCACAGATTTGTATAGTTTTTATGAGATGTATCAATGTTCGTTATCTTCGACTTTTTTCATCCAGAAACAATTTGCAACTATATTCAAGTTTCTGTCTTTGACCTTTGACCCTTTTACCTATCTGTGACATTTACCATTGACCTCAAAATCAATATGGGTCCTTTGCAAATTAGAAAGAGTTATAACCTTCTTATGATTTAGAAACTATTTTATGCAGCATTGTATGAATGTGACCTTGAAATTTGACCTTTTGTCCTGAAGATCAATGGGGTTTTCTCTGAGTAATTGGGAGTAATGATACAAAACTTTTATTGCAAAAGCTTATAGATATCATACAAAAACAGAAGTGAATTATTGCCGTATAGTTTTGTCCTTAACCTTCGACTTCAAAATCATAAGGGTTAAGGGAAAGCTGGGAACAAAAAGAAGCTTGTATATGTATCATAATGAACCAAACGATGCTTTAATTGTCTTTTAAAATTTGGGCTGCTCTGCTGCCCTGTAAAAACTCCTGTTTTTAAAGTAGCATAAGTTTTAATCCTTTTTTATGAAATGAAAAGTGTTTTATCCCAATTATCAGTACTGCTTACAAAGCTGATACCTGACCAACACACCAGATAACTTGAAAGTAATGAGATTTTTAGAAAAAATTTATGCCCCCATATCAAAGATTCGGGGAAATATAGTTTTTGCCCTAACTATTCGTCTGTTTATCTACAAAAACTTTAACATTGCCCATAACTTTTGATTGGTTGGAGCTATGATTTTCAAATTTCACATGTGTATTCCTTGTGACAAAACCTTTTCTGGGCATCATCTTATTTGACCCTTTGACCTTGATCTTGGAGTTTGACCCAGTTTTGCAAAATTTTACTGAACTTTAACCTTGGCCCTAACTTTTGAACAGTTGGTACTAGGGCTTTCATACTTCACATATGTAATCCTTGTGACAAGGTCTTTCTTTGGAAACCAACAACTTTAACCCTTTGACCTTGACCTTGGAGTTTGACTTACTTTTGGAAAACTTTAACCTTGGCCATACCTTCTGAACATTTATTGCTGTGGTTTTCATATTTAACATGTTTAATATGTCTATTCCTTGTCACAAGACCTTCCTTTGGATACCAACAATTGTAATCTATTGACCGTGACCTTAAAGTTTAACCTACCTTTGAAAAACTTTAACCTTGACCATAACTTTTGAACAATTGGTGCTACATACATCCTTCATATTTCAAATGTGTATTTCTTTTGAGAATGGCTTTCCTTGGGCACCATTAATTTTGACCATTTGACTTTGACCTTGATGTTTGACTTACTTTTGAAAAAACTTTAACCTTTTCCATATTTATTCAATAGTTGCTGCTAGGGCTTTCATATTTCACAGGTATATTTCTCGACACAAGACCTTACTTTTGGTACCAACATATTTGATTTGCACTAAAGAAAGTTTAACCTTTGCTATAAGTTGCTATACAAGGGCATTAGTGTTTCACAAACACATCTTGTTTTATGTTGATTTATTTTCCCCCAAAATTTCTTAATTATAACAACCTTGGCCTCTGTTCTGAAAAGTGGTGTGACAGCCCTGTCATTGGATATTTTAGTGACTATAATTATACATTCATGCATTTGTAATGAGCCTAAAGCATTATTACAGTAAAACACATATAAACATGTAGCCAATCAGCAGGAATAGTCTTAAAACATTTCAGTATATAAACATAATAAATTCTCATTTGAAGTAATTAATTCTCATTAGAAGTGAAGGTCACGGGTCTTTTAGATGCCATTGAGACCTTAAACCCTGAGGTCCAATGTCACAGTATGCATTGGCACAATAAAGAGCCCTCGCTGATTAATGACCTTTGTTCCAAGTAAAGGTCTAAATTTGAAGCCCTTCACTAATATATGGTGACACTTCTATATGAGTGAAAAATTCTCAAGTGGAATGTAAAAAAAAATCTCATGTAGTTACATACATGTATATCCTTTCCACATTTCATTGGTTTGAATATTTTATTGATTTTAATGATAAAAATATTCATACCAAGAAAATAATAATTGTGGTTCCAATTACACTATCAACCTGACCTATCCTAATTTTAAACATTTTTTTTCCAATTTCCAAAAAAAATAATTGTACAGTACCTCAATTAAACCTTTATTAGTTTATACATGATTAGATTTCACCACTGATTTCACTTTCTGTTTGACTTTTCAAATAAATATGGCAAGTATCTTCTGATGCATATACACTTGAATGAAAAAGTCTTTGGAAAGCTGAGATTACAATATAAATTACTTTAAACCATGAAACACTGAAATCAGCATTTAATATTTTTTTTAAAGTAAATTTGCAAAGTCAAAACCTTATGTACCTATTGGTTCCCCAATTTTTATTTTAATGTCACCACAAATTTTTTATTTTTTATTACTTTTTTTGGGGGGGGGGGGGAGGGGAGGAGGGTGGTTACTGTTGATATATTTACTACAGAAATTCGGTATTTTCCCCCAACATGCCCTAGAGAAAATTTCCCCTGAATATCCCATTTTCCCTTTTGATGAGTAAAAAATTCCCCTTACAATAATAAAAAGTTCAACTATTTTTTTTCCTTTATAAAAACTGGAAATTTAAAGTAAAATTTTCAGAAGATATGAAATATGGTTCTAATTTGCTATTTTATGCCCTCTAAATGGTCATTAAAATGCTCCCCAGGAGGACTTGCCCTGCACCTGTTGGGTGTCTGGAGTGACCCCCAGACCCCCGGCTGATATTCCTAATTTCTCCAGAAAGAGTAGTCTCCCCCAAAACCTAGATAAATCCCTGGAATCTACTGTGTGTGGCCAGCTATATGTGTGTTTTAATACAGTAAATTATAATATTCTATACCTGAGTGAGATTTGAGGTGCTCTTTCAGACTGGAATTGATGACTTTTTGGCACACAGGACACTGTTTACAATTCAAGCACTCACTCGATGCCATGCAGTGAAGGGCAAACTTCCCCAGAGAATCAAAAGGCAGCCAGCAGACATTACAGTTAATGCCTGTGGGTTTCAAATTGTCTTCATTCGCTCTGTCAGAATCACTTTGAAAGTAATGAGAAGTTGGTTTTTCTTCTTCACTGTTTTCGCACTTTCTTGCTGATTCTATCTGATCTGAATGGTCATGATTTGTGCCCAGGGAATGGTTTTCTTCTTGTTGCTGGTTTTCTTGAGCATGATTGTTGAGAGGAGTTACATGGTTTTGGATTTCCGGTGAAGAAATTATGCAGCTTTGGTCCATGTGATATTCATTAGGCTTGTTTTGAAAATAGTTTTCTGGATTTCTTTTGGTTTCACTGGAGTCATTTGGTTCTGGAGATGAATAAGTCAATTCCCTTCTCTCATTTCTGTCTTGATTATGTATATTTGCATGCTCTGAGAGCAATTTGTCATTTTCAAAAACCTCATCACACACACTGCATTTTACATAGGCCTCATTTGCATGCCGAGTGTCCATGTGTCTCATAAGGGCATATTTCGAAATAAAGCATTTACCGCACAAACAGCAAACAGCTTTTTCTTTCATTTTCTCCCCCTGTCCAAAGAATTCCTGAATTTTGTCTTTTCTGTCACTGTGAAATTTGCACATGTGAGTTTTTAAATTGTTTTTTGTTTTGAATGCTTTAAAACAAACTGGACACTTAACAGGAGACCCATATAAACCCTCGGAGGATGACTGGTCTTTCCTTTTTCTTCCCCTTTTACCTTTTGTATGTTCACTAAGAATCAAATTCTTCACAAAGCTCCCAATATTAAACTCTTTCATTTCAGACAATTTTGTTTCTTCCACTCTAGCCATGTTTTCTGAGTCCTCTTGTTTTGGGTTTGGTAACAAATTGCTATTTCTTTCAGAAATATCACCAATATGAACTGAGTCAAAATCTGTTTGGTTCACTTTGATATGATGTAGGGTCTCATCCACCTGATTTGATGATCTTCCATCATCAAGATTTTCATATTCAGTTTGATGAGTCATCACATGGTTCATGAACAATTCCAAATCATACAACAGAAGATGGCAGTATTTACACTGATACCCAGATTTCTGAATCGATTCTTCATCAGTATGATCAGTGTTCATAATTTCATTCACAATATTGGTGCTCTGAGAAACCTGAAAATAATCGGGTTTTATTCTCTGCATGTATCTCCCAACATGGACACTTGTATCTTCCTCTTCAGAATTATTGCTATGATTCATTTTGTCCTTCTCAAGCTCTGCTACTTCTTCATTCAACATTTTCTCTAAATCATCTTTAAAACTGTCATCGTAGAGTTCTGTTTTGGACATACTGTGCTGGGGTTTCCTACGATTCCTTATTTTTGAATTCTCCCTCTTCTCTGAAGGCATGTCAGATTCAAAGTTACACCCATTAGACAATCTGAAGTTGCTCCTATTATTATCATAAAGAGTAGTCAATGATGAATTATTTTCCATTCCTTCTGCAGCACTCTGATCAACATTTACATGTGCTTTCTTTAAAAACTCATTTTTAAGGCCATTTCTCAGAGATCTGCTTGGTAAAAAGTTCAGCATATCCTCAAATTCCTGGTCTGTGGGAAAATTAGACTGAAATTGGCCTTGATCTTGGGCTTCTTCTGGCATCCTCGAACTGTTGACCAATGGATATCCATCCTCAGGATTTTTCATGGACATCATGAGTTCAGGTAGCCCATCTTTTAATGTATTTTCAGAATTTTTCTCCATGGTTTACATGATGGTTTTGGTCACTGGACTCTTTGGACATGAGAGTAAGATCCTCTGCTTAACATTTTTCCTCTATATATTGCATAGTTTCATAGAGACTGTGGTCCATCTTCAAACTTCTAGAAAAAATGTTCATGAGTAATTAAATGTATAGCATTTACTAGCTATAAATAACTAACTATAACAGCTAAAATAGCTACAAATAATATAGCAAATAATTTTAAAAATTACAAAATCACAAAATGATTTGGTCTTTATTAGGCTTAAGTCTGATAAGTTATACCCGAACAATTTCTAAAATGAGGCAAGCTATTGACAAACAAGTTGATGAAACAAGGATATCAACAATTTCATTTGAAGGCAACATTTCGCTAGTTCTATGGTCAATACAATGACCTTGTCAGTAAATACAATCTTTCATTAAGTCAAATGCTGACTGATGTTTTTCATACTAATTGTTAGGCTATTTTTTTAAATACTGACATATTGAATTGTTGAAGGATTTTTCCATTTGCTTTATCACTGGGCTCGACATTGACTTTTTTCCCTACTTGTCCATTTGGACAAGTGACCAAGACATTTACTTGTCTGAACTTCAACTTCACTTGTCCGAAAATTGTTCAATAATGATACAATACTGTCAACTTGAAAATTAAAATAAAGTCCATTACATGTGCTTGATTTGTGATGTTATTGATAAATACAACATACACATAAAAACAAAATTTTATCTAGACTTTCTTTCCTGACAACAACATAAATGTTCACAGATGAAACTTCGATCCAAATCGAGTGTGAACTCAATTACATAATGATCTATATTGGGTCGGGATCGAAGTTCGGTTTTTATGTACTGCTTCCGTCTTTACCGATGAACTTTTAACAGTCATTCTTACTATTTGATGACTTCTTTACATTAAAATGCATTTGTCCAATCGGACAAGTGCCCAGCAATATTCACTTGTCTGTAATTTTTTTTTTCACTGGTACTGGACAAGCAGACAAGCGTTAATGTCGAGCCCTGTATCATGACAAGGAGCACACAGCGGGTGTGGCAGGTCGATAGGGGATGCTTACTCCTCCATGGCACCTGATCCCACGTTTGATGCTTTTAGAGGTCTGTGTTTGCTCTGCTCCCAAATTGTATCATTTCAATGGACTTTTGAGCTTGATTGCTATTTGTTATCTCCATATTTCTTTGACATTATCTGTAACATTTTCGAAACATTGCTGTATACTGGAATGTATTAAATTGATCTACATGGAATGTAAATGATATTCTTATGAATTGTCATTATCTGCATAAATATACATGTTAAATTTAAATTCAAATTTACAAAAATTACATAACTTTTCAGTCAATCAATATCAAGATCAACGTGTTTAAAAATGGTGTTGATAAGGCCGCGGGAAACACAATAAATGATCATTTGTACAGTTATTGTCATGCGAGTTAACTACCAAACTAGAAGGATGGGCGTAATAGTAGCCCTAAGTTTAAACCTTGCCAGGTTTTCAGGAGACTGAGGTTTTATTTGTCTTACTTTTTTGCTTACTATCTTAAACATGTTCAACTTGGAATTGTTCTCAGAATCATGAGTTATATATTCCAGCTATAAACATAAATACTGCAATACATGTACATCTGAAAAATGACCACTGTGACAGATGTTTTGTACTGGGTACAAGTTATTTTCTTGTTTAAATGTTCAAGACCTATACATACCATACATACATATTACGTAAAAGCTATACTGAACAATTATAGTAAACAAATACATTAGGGTGAGAATGATGTCCTTAATATACACAAAAAAATCTTTTATCTTTTTCAGTTTTTTAATTGCTGGTAATGCAGAGATTTTTTTGTTGTAAAGTGACACTTTCTTTACTTCATATTAATTTACTTCAAAATATTCCACTAAATGAATTTTTAAAAATCAATCATGAATGCGTCAGCATTTTATTTATGCATAATAAAATTCATTCACAGTCGGGCTTGTTTACTTGACAGGGTTGTGTGTTCCAACTTTGCCGTTTCTTGTTTTGTTAAGTTGTACTTCTAAGTATCACAATTAAAAAAAATATTACTGTTATTATTATGGTTTTTGGCCAGTCTTTTTAAAATCTACTATCTACTGGCCCAGTGGGACAGTGAAAGTACTAAGCTGAGCAGTAAAAATTTAAGGCGATAGCCCGAGCGACCAGTACACAAAAATAATTATTTCTAGCCCTGAATGCTCTGTGCAGTTGCCAACTGCAAGAATATTTTGTAGAGGTAAAAGACATGAACAAGATGAAGGAATATTTTGATATCGAGCTCTTGTGCAGTTGAGGTAAGAATTTGAAGAAATAAATCTTTTCGTGCACAATAAATATACATTTTTTTCCTACGGGTGGCACTGTTGCTCTCTGATCCATCTATATTATTTTCTTCAGAGAGCTACCAACAGTTCTGCAGCTAGGGGTATATAAAAACAAAGTTGTGGAGACTTTCAGGTAGGCTGCCTAATTTAACCAATGAAATGCTAATAAATCAAATGGTTGAAATTATACTTTGCATTCTTATCTATTCACATATATAAACAATCTACATAACAACCAACGTTCATTCTGAAATTCCGTGTGATTTAATCAAAAATATTTCATCACTTATATCATTAATGTATAAGATTGGTTGGATCTTGACTAGTTTTTAATCACGAATACTGATTAACAAAAAAGTTACCCGATCACCGAGGAAACGCGGGTTAAAACACACAGTTTTTTTTATCTCATGGCATTAACTTTGTATGTTTATCAATAAACAAATATGAAAAATATTTTCAAAATGAAGTGATAACAATTAAGTCTTACCTGGTAAAACCCTTGCCTCTTTAATGAACCATTAATCTACTAGTTGAGCACGAACAATAAAAACATTCCAGTTACTTCCCTTCACAAAACCTACATGAGGAATACTGCCGTTGGGCTTATTTTTTCCGGCATATAATTTTGTATAAGAAAATTGTCAAAAAAAAGTGGGGGTAGCAAAATTGTGTGGAAGGCGACTGTTTCTCCTCCTTGAAACTGGGGTAATGGTTTCATACATATGACTTAGTCTTTTTCATACCAACTTAACACAGATCCGCGATTTCTAGACTGAGGGGTCCAAGGTCACTTCTAGTTGCTTTACTGCAGTGGCGGATCCAGAAGTTCATGTGGGGGGGGGGGGGGGGTTGAGGCCCGTAGGGCCGAAGGGGGAGGGCATGAGAGGGGGTGTCTCGGGGGGCCTCCCCCGAGAAATTTTCTTGAGAAATGGCTCCAAATGGTACATTTTCCAGCATTTTAGATTGAGTTAGTTAGTTTTTGGCCACTTTTTTCTAGTTGTTTTTCAAGACCGACCTTCCCAAATTTTCAAGAATTTAAACAAAAAATTAATAAACTTTTGGGATTATTTTTAACTTCCATGTAAACGTGAAAAATGAGATTTAAAAAAAATTAAATGTAAAATCTGATAACATTAGAAATATCGCTATTTGATAAATAATATCCAATTCTTCATTTTAAAATGCACGTCCAATGTGTCGCATGTGAAGCTCTGACTACCAAAATACAACTGATGTGCAATTTCCCAACACTTAGAAAATTTTGATTCTGTGTAGAAACCCTAATTACTCTTTTCAACTACTTGACTATACTATTCATAAAAATTGCATTATAAACAAATAATGATATTTCGTAATGAAGAATAAATATAAAATATTTTGGGAAATTGTTGGAATTATTGCTTACTCATGGGGGGGGGGGTTAATTATAATTTCTGACACAAATGCACTCTTATATTCTTTTTTTTTTACCCACTTACCAGCCCAATGTTTGAAAAAAAAAAAAGTCTTAAAAAACCAGTAAATAAAAAAGTGGTAAATTCTTGTTTTGACAGGACCTCTGCATTATACATATCAGTTTTATCACTATTCATTATACAAATAATAACAATTATCACAGTTTATTCATGTAGTTCAATAATCGCAGTAAGTCTTCATTATAAGGTGTGAAATGGTCAAATGCTATCAGATAACATGGCTTGAAAGAATATTACTTTATCAATACTAAAACAATACCGTATTAACTCTGTGCAGTTTTGGTAGTTAGTGTATGACCTTATGTCATCACTAGCCACTAGCTGCACGGACTATCATGATCTCTGTACTGTTGATTACCTGTGTATTGTGTGCGCTCAAGAGGAAAGGGATTTCTGGTGGCGGCTGTATATTTCACCTCTGCGTAAACAATTGGCTTGGATAGACTCTTATTAATGAAATATATTGTTAAAATGACACTTGTAAAAAAAAATTTTTGATTGGGCGAGGGGGTTTTCCCGAACCCCCCCCCCCCAAACCCCCCTGAATCCGCCACTATTTAGTATATACATTTAGTAACTCTGCAAATTCCAAAGTGAGGGTCCGGAATCCCCCCCCCCGCCCCTCTAGATCCGCGCATGGTAGATAAACATGGTATAGGTATAATTTTATTAACGTTCAAATTAAAATTTTCACTGATTTTGAACTTAAATAACCTTAATTTCTATAGTTAAATTAAACTGACTTTAAATGTGTCTTTTATTTAAATGTGGAGACGGTAAATATATTGGTCATTGTTTTAATTTTGAAAAGCGGTTGATTTAAATTGTGTAATTTACAGAAAAATTCTATCTTTATATAAAGTAATAAATCAAATATTAGAAAGATATATTAAAGTTTTGTTATCTGAACTTATACTACGCGTACGCCATATACGATTATAATAATTTCAACTCCTTGTGCCACTAGGAACCTATACTAACGAATGGCTGTAAAGCGAAAAATATTTCACATTTTTTTTTTTTTTTTACTGGGACGAGAGCTCAACTGTAACATGATAATTTAAAAGACATCGAAAATAGTCAATGAATGCAACAACTGTTCAAAGGTGAGTGGATTTTCTATTCATAATATCTAATTCAGACTTAAATATGACCC